TATATAAATGTCACATATATAAGGATATTATTTCCCTATCAGTTATCAGGTTTGCAGATATTTTCTGTCATCTGGGTGGCTGCTTTCTGTATTAGTATAAGCATGCTAGGGCTGGCATAATAAGACTGGGTATCAACAATTTATTTTCCTGCCATCTGGAAGGTAGAAATTTAAGATCAAAGTGTCAGCAGGGCTCCAATTTAATGGTCTCATTTCAAGTTAATCACCTCTTTAAGGACATTATCTTAAAATACTATTATTTGGGTTTGAGACTTAAAGATAGGAATTTGAAGGAGACATAATTCAGCTCAAAACACTTTTCTGTGGCCTTACAATGGTATGACCAGTCATTGCTGCAATCATTACTCCTCTCCCCTCAGTCCTCACCATTTATAACCCACATTAGAGCATTTTGTTTAGTTTCATGTTGCAGTGGCCCAGTAGTTTCTTCCTTGTATAGTCTGTACTATTCTATAGTATATCTTATCCTTGAAGTATTACTATATATAAGTAAGGCATCCAATCAGATCTTCTTCCTGCTCATCAGATCCAATCAGCATCACATAGTGAACTAGAGTGATATTTTATGGAATGCAGAAACGATTAGTATCTGTGTACTGTTTTAAGGAGAATTGATACTCCTAAGATGATATTGTGAAGGTGTACTGTTGGCCCTTCCAGGTAAAACTGCTTCTGATGGTTTTTACAAACAGGTAGATAAAATGGCATTAACCTAATCAATAGATGTATACCAAATACCAGGTTCTATGATGATTGTTCCAAAAATGATAGTATATTTAAGACAGAGGCTGCAATTGGAATCACATCCTGATTAAGATTATAATAGCCTAAAAAAAGATTATAATAGTCTACAATCATTCTCCTAAATCCATTTTCACTGACCAAACTAGTGAATTAATTGGGGTTATGCTATGTATCACTGGTCTTGTTAACACTAATCTTGCATTAATTCTTGAGGTTATTCCTAGTGATTAAGTACTGGTTCTGGTTTACTATCTTGGAAGGGACCAAAAGATTTTGGAACTTCTACTTAGTTCTTTCTATTATAATGACCTTCATTCCTTGAGTAAGCAAGGAAAATTTGGGGATTTCAGTTACACATCCAAGAACTGAGAAAGCTAGTATGCAGACCAACAGAACAAAAACAACCATGAGCTAAGACTTTGCCTGTTACTTAACCAAGATAAATCCCAACTTTGGCTGGAGAGTCACAGTGGTACATTTGTCCCCTGGCATCAGCATCAATTCATAGCCACTATCTAGTAAACCTCAAAAGACTTCACATTTCCTTTTTCCTAATGTAGTCACTCTGGTAAATGGCCACATATCTTTCTAGGGAAAGCTAAAAGGGATATGCTATCAGCACTATGGCAATGGAGTAAGGTCCTTCCTAAAGAAGACATAAACTTTTCTTCAACTAAGAGATTGTGGGTGTGTGAACTGATTTAGGTCTGAAAACTAAGAGGCTGTGACTGTTTACCGTGGCAATTCATGTCAAATTTTGCCTACATGACCTATAGCTTTACCTGTTATAAATATCAGGCAACACTCTAGGCTGCATATATATTTTGTCCCAAAGACATCTCTGTGGCCAAAGTAGTCTGATTACCCGCAGACTTTAAAGGCAGATCTACCCACTTTGTCTTTGTTGGTTATGTGCTGCCTGGCCTCTGCTATTCTGGGATCTGTAATTGGGGAGCCCATTTCAACAGTGGCACCATCTATAGCCTTACTGTTAAGGGGAGCACCCATGGAGATATTCAAAGGTGCAGGTATTCCTCTAATGTATTTCTCACGCTTCAAGCAAAGGGAGTGTGTCCTGGGCCTTTTCATGGAACACATCTAGCAGACAGGTATGCAAGTTGCATAGGATAAGTCCAGGGCAACACTTTATGTTCCTGAGACACTGGATCCTCTCTTTCACTTCATGTCATAAAGCTCTGGCGTCAGTTTCACCTGTGTCCAAACCGTTTCAAATTTTGGGACCTGTTATTCACCAATTAATCCTTCAACTTTTATAGGAAAAAAACCTGGCATGCTTTTGAATTCAACAGTAATTCTAACTCACTTACCCAAACATTACAATTTTGTGTTTGATTTTCATCAATATTATTCTCCTTACTACAATAAACAACAGATTCTTTTCAAAATGTTATAGAACTGTTGAGGTCTCCTTCTAGAGGAGGGGACTTGGGGAGACGACTGCGGACACAATGAATGACCAAAAGCTGATGGCTAATGGCAAAGTTTATTTCTAATGCCAGGTGTTATATACTAGTTTCAAGGCCACGCCACAAACATGATCTCAGCGACTGGTAATAAATCTCAATCACAAGGAGGCATGGGTAAGATAAACAGTCACAAGAAGCGTCAAGCAGACTGTTTAAGCTAAGAATATACCATCAAGATAAGACATCTGTTTATGACCAGAAGGGAGTGTAAACTGGGAACAAGAGCAAACACAGAGTTCAGGGGGTTGTTTGTAGGTCAAGGGATTTGGCTCCAGCACGTCGCCTTCGGGACTCCTGTGCCCCGGTGAGAATCAGAATTCCGGGGCTAGGGGTCAGCACTTCGGCTGCCCATCCTCTTGTGCCCCAACATAGAACCTCTTTGGTTCTCATGTCATAACTCTTGAGTTAATAACCCCGTGCTTGCCATTTTTCCATATAAGCACTAAAAAGAATCCTTTTACACCATAGTCATTATAATCACCTTTCCAGCCTCAGCAGTCAAGTGTAGTTGGTACTTGGTTCCCCAAAGCACTTGCTGCAGTTGGCACGTCATCAGAATCAACCACAGGTGACTGAGGTGTCCTGCATGCCATGAATGATCAGCATTCCATTTCCCTTTGGCAAGAAGCTCAAGCCCAAAGGCTCAATCAAACCGACCCTCAAATCCCATCTTTGCAGGCCTGTCTCTTGAGACTACTCCCTGGACAGGGAAAGCTTAATAAAAAGAATTATTAACTATAATAGGGCATTAGAATAATGAGGGATTCACTAGCAAGAAGAGAATATAGATATAGCGGCTGAAAAAAGCCAACCTTATAACTAACCTATGGGATTCCAGTGGGCAAAGAAATACCTTTCCACCCCCATTCCTTCTAGGGCTAAAATTTAGACTTCACTGGAGAGCACAGTCTGGGCTCACCTAAGTCACTGTGCTGGTATACCTGCAAAATCCGTTGAAAATATGCCCCTTTGAACTTGCTACACATTTTTTTAGGGCTCCAGGGAGCTATTCACACAGTAGTGTCTCATGATTTGAAAACTTCTCGCCATCAGGCATTATGGGACTTTGGGGCGGAAGAAAGCTTGGTATGCTGCAAGAACCTGCCTACCAAAACACCAAACCAGGAAGTAAAACTCTTCTTCCTCAACATCTCTCCAGCGCTCTCTACTGACAAAAGCTTCAGTCCTAGAAGGCAAAGGAACACCTATCCAAGAGGCCCAGATCCATTTTCACAGTGTAGTCAAAAAGGGTGAATTTGGAGCGGAGAGGCAATAAATCAATAATAGGTGCAAACATCAGTTCTCAGATTCCCTCACAGATTTCTATTCAGACGTCTACATCTACCTGCAGGGGCCTTTGGAGGGCTCTCTGCTCCCCGGCCGTACCAGGATGTCACCAAAAGGAAAGGAGGAAAAGATGAGCCCAAGTGGAATTCAAAAATTTCTTCTAATTTCTTACAACCCTTCACCGAGTACCTTTTCCACGGCATGCTAAATCTGGGTGCTTCCGGACAGAAAACCTGAGCAGTAGAATAGAGAGAGTCCCTGTGGAACGTGGGCTACTGGCGCCTGAGCGCTCCCGAACCTGGGCTCAAGTCCCGCAAAGCCCCCTCCCGGGTCACAGAAGCCTCCCGAAGTCTTCCCACTGCCCGGGCTCGGGGAGGCAGGCGCGGGGCGG